ATTTTTTTTTTTAAATGTTAATTACCTAGAAACATATAGATGAACGAAACATACATTATAATGAATTAGCAAAAGAATAAAGAGAAATTCTCTTAAATACCACATTTTGAAGTTTTGTTTTCAAAAATAGAATCAAAAGTTTTATATTCCAAAAATACCATCAAAAGTTTTGGTTTTCTAAAAATATCACAAAAAATAATTTTTAAGGGTTTTACAATTTAGATTTCTGGGTTTGGGTTAACTATTTTTTATTTAGGGTATAGTTTTTTGGTTTAAAGTTTGGTTTTTATTTTTCTGGGTTTAGTTTTAAATGTTTAAAGTTTAATTTGACTTTTGTGGTATTTTTGAAAAACCAAAAATTTTGGTGGTATTTTTGGAATATAAAAATTTTGATGTCTCTTATTTTTACAAACATAACTTCAAAGTATGATATTTCTGAGAATTGCCCCAAAAATAAATCACCGTTCTCTCAAATTTTTAGGATTCCAGAATTTGTATGAATTTTTTTTCTTGCACACATATACAAACCCAAGTCTACTAAATTAAGACTATTCTTTTGTTTATTTGACCATTCTTTTAATGTTATTTTTTTGAGAAAATTGACCATTCTTTTATAATATTGTCATTTGCGATGGCTTTTAATATTATTCGCATGTAACTAAGTACTAAGTAGTGTGCACATATCTATATAACATCTTTATATCCAAATCATGTCATACAGAATCATCCCTAGCTAATTAATCATTATTTAGCTAATAATGTTTAGGCATACTTTATACGCATAATGGTGCTACATATTAACACGTGTACCGAGTAAACCAACTTTTATATGATTTGTGATTATGGAGAATCTTCAAGTCAAACGTAAAAGCACAAAAAAAAATAGTACTAAACTAGGTCAGAATTATACTTAAACTTATTTTGGAAGATGGTCAGCTTTTCAGTGAATAATCAGATTGAATTAATCTCGAAATCACAATTATTCACGTAAACTCATTTTAATACGATCGTTTGGTTAATTAAGCGAGTCAAGTGGGTCTTGCATATACAAACTCCAGAGCACTTAGAAATTATATTACTATCCACTCATGATGAGGATGG